CCTGTTTCGCCCCTCACTCACCTGCTCCCTCCCTCCCCCCCCCACCCCTGCTCCCCCTCACTCATCTGCCCCCTCCCTCCCTCACTCACCTGTTTCTTCCCTCTCTCACCTGCTCCCTTCCTCCCTCCCTCACTCACCTGCTCCCTCACTCACCTGCTCACTCCCTCTCTGACTTATTCACTTACTTACTCACTCAGACAGTAGTACCTGAATGCTGTCCCCTGCAAGATAGGACACAGGGGAATGTCTGGGAGGCCTGCCTGTGCCTTTCTTCCATGAGTGCTCAGGAGCCATGCTGTGATGGGTGGTTGTCAATGGGTGGTTGATGCTCACTCACTTCCTGTGCCTATGGGGATGACAAAACTGTGGAGTGGGGCAGCTCCCTGCCCGATCACCTCTGCCTCACATGGGCAGAGAGCCTGGAGGAGTGGTCAGCCCCCTGTGGTGTTGTTCTGCACTCCATGGATCTCCTAGGGCTCTGCCTGCTTTTCCTTAACTGGAGCCAAGTTTTCCCTACCTTGGGGCTTGATGGGACTCCTTCATCCCATCTCACCTGGCCTCTGGGGAGCACACCCCATCACAACAAGGACACAGGGGTACTACTTGAAGCCCTCCACGTCTGGGCAAATCCCATAGCCACCAGTGTCTAGGGACTCTGAGACACTGGCCGCTCCTGTCCAGCATCTCCTTGTGTATTTTCCATCTTAAGGAGAGGTTTATGGATTTTCACAGTACAGGAGCAGCATAGTGGCTATGTGTATTCAGTGGTGCCCATGCCCATTTCCGTGGCTTTGGAGAACCTTGTTGTTGCTGATGCATCCGTATCTTTGTCCTCTATGCCCAAGATTCTTACTAGAATGCACAGGCTTCGGGTCTGTGGCCAGGAGACTGAGCCTTGTCACACAGGGCAGGGCAGGCAGATTCTACCTTAGGCATGGTTTAGGAGGGCTCCAGGAAAGTCATCCAGGCCTGCTGGCCTCAGGTGTCACTGCCATTTCTTGATGTTTTCCCAAAAGGAGAGTGTTGCAGAAAACAGATACTTTGCTGGATGCACTCCTGTAATCCAGCAGCTCAGGAGGCTGAGGCAGGAGGATCACAAATTCAAAGCCAGCCTAGCAATGCCCTGTCTCAGATTGGGGGCCGGGGGGTGTCGTTCAGTAGTAGAGCACCCCTGAGTTCAACCTTCGGTACTGCAAAAATAAAACAAGATAATGCAGAGCATGCTTTGTGTGATGTAATCTGCACTGAAGGAGGAAGCCATCCAGAGGGAGGCAACAGCCAGGTCTTCCACAGGTGACTACAGGCAAGAGCAGAAACAGAAGTGGATGTGGGCCCACGCAGCTTTGTGATTGTGTGCAGCAGAGCTCAGACTATCTCTCAGATTCCAGGGAAAAGAACATGGGGCTCTGGAAGGTGTGGGTGGTTGGGATATGGTAAAGAAAGTCCTGTGGAGGAGTAGATAGCAGAGCACGAGCCATGCCCCAGTGGGGCATAAATAACACATAAGACCCAGGAACCCTGAGTGGCAGGCACACTCTCTAGGCAACACATGGGACTGCTCCCATGTGTGCCTAGTGCCTCTAGACTGCCCGAGGAGGCAGACAGCCCAGAAGCTGTGACCAGGCAGCCTGGGTCTGGATCCACCTCTGGGTAGAGGAGAGAGGACCTTGGTCTTCAGTAGCCTCCACAACAGATTCAGGCCAGTGATCATCTTTATTTCCCTGGTCTCCTCCTGATTTGAGAGAAACTTTGAATCTGTAACAAAACTTTGTTAAATTTCCCAACATTGTGTATGCATGTATATGCACATGTGTGGTTAGGTTTGAATACACAAGTACAGACTTGTGTTCTTTGTGCAGATGCACAGGTATATTTGTGTGCATGTGTGAGCCCATGTATAATATGTATGTAATGTGTGTTCACACAAATGTGTGTACATGTGCATGTTTGGGGCATACATGTGATTGTGAGAGTATGTGTGTATATGTGTACAAGGGAGCTGCATCTTTGTGGGTACATGCCTATATTTGTGTGCATGTGAGGGGTGTTCACAGATTCATGCACATGCTGTGAGTGCAGGTGTGTGAGTTCACTGCGTGTCGTATGCACAGGCTGTGTGTGCATGTGTGTGAGCGCGTGCATGCGAGGGAGGCAAGGAAGGCATGGGTTGTTGATTTCTGGCACTGCCTTTCCTCAGCCTCTTTTGTTGCCTTAGCACTTGTGGTGAGCTGTGGAGACTCGAGAGGAGAATCACAGTCACATTTCTTGGAGTGATCTGTCTGCTTGTTTTATATTCACCCCTCTGCCAGTGAACGTTTCCTGAGCGTAGCTGTGTGTTGGGCTGGGTCCAAAGAGGAAGCAGGCACATGTCTCAGAGAGCATCCAGGCTACACTGTGGGAGGCAATGGCCTTCACTCGAGGCCAGGCGTTTCTGAGGAGGAAAGGTGGTATACCACTTGAACAAGATGGGCGGAAGAGAGGGAGGGTGGGAGCAGGGGTGTGGGAAGAGCAGGAGGGATGTGCCAGGCTGGAATGGACAATGCATTACAAAGGGACTGGAAGGAGTCTGGGATGGCTGAGACAGGGCTTGAAATTTGGGTTAAGCAAGTTGCTTCCATTTTTTTTTTTTTATAGACAGTGGGCAAACTTTTTAATTGCGGACTGATAGTATCAGGCCCCAATGTTTCATCTAGTGGCATCTGATTGATTTGATAGGCAGGGTAGTCCTGAGGCCAAAAACCCGTCATGTACCCAGCACCCTATAATGGTAACTAGGGTCCAACAGGTGAGCAAGCCACCTTGGGTGAAGCCAGAGTGAAGGTTTCTCTTCTTCTTCCAGAAGAAATTTGACATGACTTGGAACTGATTGGAAAAAGGGGACTATAGCATAGGAGAGGAGGGCAACAGTGGTGGCCCAGGGTTGCTGGTCCTGGAGAAGGGTGTCCTTAGCTGGACCAGCAGGTTCCAGGGCAACACACAGTGTGTCAGGGAGATGGGGACTGTCAGGGGACATCTGCCCCAGGATACAGCTATCTCATCTGGGTTTTTCCTCTGGTTGCTGTGATGGGTAAAAAGAAACTTGTGGAGAGAGGCCCCAGCACTCAGGGAGTGAGGGGGCAGACAGAGACAGGGAGGGCATGGCAGGCCCAGGTGAGCCCCACCAAGCACGGGGAGGGAGCAGTGTGTGCAGAATGGGGGCTCAGCGTGGGCCTGTGGGAGTGGATGTGTTCTACCTTTGCAGAATACTTGGGCTCCAGAATTTATCTTGGGATTGACACACCTCCTGGGGAGCTCCCAACCCCAGGCCTGCAGCAGTTGACCTACCCAGCTGCACTCCCGCCTCCTTCAGGACTGCTCAAGACTACGTCCTCCCCTCCTGCTGGGTGGGTGGGCGGGATGGGCTGCACCCTGCCTTTGTTGCCATAACCTGTGACATTTCCTTTCCAGTTGCCGGATTCATTATAAGGATATGTACAGTTTGTTGCGTTGTATTGCGCCACCCGTTGGCTTAGGGAAGAACTGCCCTCGTAGGTTGGCCTACAAGGTTTGCAACTTCAGAGCCTCCATCCAACATACTTCCCTGCCCGAATCGCAAACACAGCACACACTCCCTGCCTGGTTTGGGAATGATGACACCTCACCTCTCTTCCTTCTGCCCTGCCCTGCCCCGCACTCTGGCCTCCTTGATGCTTTGGTTCCCTGACAATCTCCCTGATCCCTCCAGCTGGCTGGGGGCAGGCAGCTTTTGGAGACAGTGCACAGAAGGCTTTCTGGCCAGGCCATATCAGCCAGGACCAGCCACTGGGTGGGGCCAGGTTCTGCACCAGGATGCAGCCGTCTCGGGTTTTTCCTCCAGGCTCTCGTGGGTGGGCTGATGGTCAGATAGGCCAGAGGCTGAGGGCCCGTGGGAGGGAACTTGGACACTAGTAAACAGGAGCAGCTGCCCCTCTGGTTCCTATGAGGTTTCTGGTTCTCTGGGGGTTTGGGGGAGGCAGAGACAGAGTGGGGCCCAAAGATAAGCCCACATGCATTGCTTCTAGATGGATCTGCTCAGCACAGTGGAGGAGCCCCTGGTGTAGAACTATGGGAGGAGAGCAGTGTTGGGAGACCCACCTGCCAGGAAGAGGCTGGGTCTGAACCTGCTGTGCCTCTGGGATCCCAAGCCTGGGAGCAGGCACCCAAGGGCTGAGGGAGGCCCCAGACCCAGTGGCCTCTCTGCTTGGGGAACACTTCATCACAAGCCTCAGACACCTCCCTGAGTCCAAGCCTTGGGTTCCAGGCCCACCAGGAGGCTTGCCTCTCTGTTGGTGGGACTTATGCTGTCAGGCGGTGCAAGAGTGGCACCAGGCCATGCCTGCCCAGCTGCTCCCCACCTCAGTCTCCTCCCTACCCAGCCCTGACCCCAGCAGCAGCCCTGCCCGGGTTGGCCTCGGGCGTCTCTGGGCTTGGAGCAGGACTTGACCCAGGGTCGAATTTGGCTATAGAGCTTCCAGACTCCCTCTCTAGTTTCCTGGTCTGTCGCAGATTTTCCTCACTCTAGCCTCTGGTCTCACCTGGGAGCCAATCTGACTGCTGCGGCAGTGGCCGTAGCAGCTGTGGCTCAGCCACAGCGTTGTCTCCACAGCACTCCGCAGCTCTTCCCGCATGGTGAAACAGCGCTTTCTGATTTGGCCTTATCTGTGTTCTAAAAGAGTAAACCAGAAATTCACAGCCCAAAGCCGCCCCGATGCAGCCCTTTCCCTCCATGTTCATTAGCTCAGACGTCACCCTGCCCGCTGTCCTGCGTGGGGCTGGAGTGAGGAGGTGAGGCTGGGGGTGGGGCCGCAGGGTCCAGTCAAGCAGAGAGAGCCCTCACTTTGCCTCTTGGTTGTGGGCATCTAACCGGACACTGATTAACTGGATCTGTTTTCTTGTCTGCTTCTTCCCTGCCCCTGCTCCCTGCTCTGCCCCTCCTGCTGTGCCTCCTCCCGTGGACCACCCACTGTGCCTGGGCCTCTCTGGGACGGGTTTCCAGTGGGCGCATCAGTTACAATGACATGTTTGAGATGCTGAAGCACATGTCCCCGCCTCTGGGGCTGGGGAAGAAGTGCCCTGCTCGAGTTGCATACAAGGTAGACCCTGAGCCTGCACCCCAGAGCTGTCTGTGCCAGGGCTGGGCCTGCCCGGCCTGCAGCCGCAGGGTGCTCCTGGGCTCTCCTGTCTGCTTCCTCAGGGCTTGTTGGCTGACTGCACCCGGCTGCCTCCCTGTTCCTGTCTCCTCTACCCCATTCCCTCTCTGCTCCTATCCCAGACAAGGGGACATGGCCACCACCATGTCTCTGCACTGGCCCAGGGTACGCAGCGCTGGCTGCCCCCTCTGCTGACAGCCCCAGAGAGGCTCAGGAAGATGGAGCCAGAGTTTAGGTCATTCTCTGCCCTTCACCCTGCCTTTCCCTTCCTAGGAATGAGGGGACAGACCAGTTTCTTGGACAGAGGTGGTTTTTTTTTCTGGGCTCAGAGCCACTCTGGCTGCCCTGTTTCCTAGGCTCTAGTGTGGGTGATATTGTCAGGTCCTCAGGTCAGGCCCTGGGTGCACGTGGGAACTGCAGGACCTCTGGTGCTTCTGCATACAACTGCCTGCCGAGCTCTTTAAGTACAGGTTCCCAGGCCAGGCTACAGTCTCCAGAGGCTCCTGGGCTCCATGGTGGGAGGGAAGCACTGTGGTTTCAAGAAAGAAAGGGTGTAGAGGGGCATTTTGCTATCATTCATGGGGTTTCAGCGGCCACTGCAGGAGAAGCACGTTCTCAGGGCCTGGAGTCAAGGTGGCCAAACTGTAAGGAAGGGATAGACCCAGGGTGTCTCCTGCCCTTCCTCCTGGGGCTGGGCAGGCCAAGCCCGCTGTCCCTGCCCATACCATCATCAATCACCCACCCCTTCTGGACCCCTTCTGGGCCCCACTGCTTCCAGCAAACAGGACTGGCCTGTGTCTCCCTCTGTCTAAGAGAGCGTCTCCCAGAGTTTCCCCAATTCTCTGGGTGTCTCCTGTCCACCCTGTCTCTGTGCCCCATTCTAGGTCTTCATCTGCCACCTGATTCTGAGCAGCCTGTGGGAGCTGAGCAGCTCCTCCCAGCCACACACAGATGCCTCTGGTGTCTTCCTCAGCCCCTCCCCACCCCTGGCTCGCATGCGGGTTGTGTCTGCCAGAGGCCCTGCATGCAAGGCTGTAGCTGTGACCCCAGGAGGGAGAGCTCTGTCCACATTGACACCAGGCTGGGTGGCAGGCTGCGAGGCCCTGCCCAGCCTTGCCACCTGACTCCGAGGTTTTGGGTGTGGTGAGACCCTGGAAGGCTCCAGAGTGGGAATGAATGGCCCTGGGGAGCTGGGGAGGGAGCTGATACCTGTTTGCCCTGACCTTGCCCTGATACTTCTCAGAGGTCCCTGGCCCTTGGGGGCCCTGGGCAGGTAGTGGGATCCCTGGTGAGTGCAGCCCTCAAGCGCCCTGGACGGAGCTCTCCCCTCTGGGAAACCATCTGCTTGCTCCTCTTTCACTCCCATCCCGACTCCCCTCCCTGGGAGAGGAATTCCTTGGCCTCTCGCACTGCCATCGGTGCCGGTCTGCAGGGACGCCATGCTCTGGGAAGCAGGTTTTTCCTGGTGTACAGCACACATGCTGTGTGAGGTCCTGACACCATGGCTGGATGTGCCAAGTGGAGCTTTGCCAGCATTCGGGGGACAACGTCTGGCTTGTGTCTTCGGCACCCCCACCTCTGTCACACTGAGGCCACAGAATGCAGGGCCAGGATGCTGGGGACAGGGCTGCGTAGCCTCCCCAGGGAAGGGACTAGAGGACTGTGCTACCATAGGGTACACACCCCAGTGAGGAGTTCCTGACTGCAGCCCCCATCATGGGCAGTGGACAGCGTGGTCAGGGTGCTTGTGGGCTCCATGTAGCACCCCAGATGCACCCAATCCCCCATTTTTCCTCTAGGCCTCCTTGGCTCTCAGTGCCTGAGGCTCTGGTCAGCTATGGGCCCAGCCCAGAGGACCATGCTGCCAATGTGCCTGTCTCCAACTGCTCTGCCCTAGAAACTGAGGAGAGGGAAAGGGCCCACTCAACACGGGGACGGGGAGAGAGTGTTCCTGGCCACCCGAGCTGTGGCTGGAGGAGCCGGAGGCCCTCTGCAGTGCCCTCAGTTCTGGGTCCTTCTGACTGGAAGGAGCTGGTCTGGAGGACTCCTCTTGCTGCCTTGAGCTGAGATGTTCTCTGCCTTCTGATGGCAAGAGGTGGAGCCCTTATGGGCCTGAGTTAAAGTCGCCCCTTGAGGGGTGCTCCGTGCCACCTGGGTCTCAGAGCGACACTCAGGGCCATCACCTCTGGTCCAGGTCACCAGCTGCACAGAAGGAGGCGAGACGACGGAGGGCAGGACAGGAGCCCCCTCCTGTCTGTGAACCCTCCTCGAGGCCTCTGTCTTGGGCCTTCCTTAGCCGAGGCCACAGTCCCTTTTTCTATCCTGGGGCAGTGGACAAACATCCCTCTGGCTGAGAGTGTACCTGTTTTCCCCGAAGCCCTGGCTCCTGGCCCCACATCCTGACTTGACTCCCCACTTTTCTACAGCCAGGAGAATCCTTAGCTCAGGTGAGGGTAGGGCCGAGGGTGAGTGTGAATGCTGGCAAAACTCCCATCCACCCAGACTCGCTTGGCCTAGGTACCTGCAGGGACCACCTCAGGGAGCTCAGCAGGCCTCCATGGACTCTGAGCACGGCATAGTCCTAGGGTGGGGTGACCCCGTCGCACCTGGCCCTGACCTGCCCCCACTCCTCCCCAGCGCCTGGTTCGCATGAACATGCCCATCTCCAGTGAGGACATGACTGTGCACTTCACATCCACGCTGATGGCCCTCATTCGAACTGCACTGGAGATCAAGCTGGCCCCAGGTAGGTGAGGTCTCAGAGGAGGGAGGGCAGACCATGACCACTGCCTAGAGAACCAACCCACGTGATCTGCAGGGAAGAGTGGGGAGGCGGCTCTGTCTGGAGGGACAGCTGTACCCAGCAGCAGCTCTAGCTCCTGGTAGTGTCCACACGTGAGCAATGCAGTGGCCCCATCTTCAGGCAGGAGGCCAAGGCACCGCCAGCAGTGGTGGCCAGACATGGTCCAGCCCAGGCGGCAGGTGCCTTCTGCTCCCTTCCCCTTCACAGAGAGCCTGAAGCCACCAGACGGGACCGGCTGTCCCTGCCCTGCCCTGCCCTGCATCTACCCTGGGGCTCCGCCCCTTTCCTGCTGGGAGACATTGAGGCCAGCCCCCTGCACACCAGGTCCCACTCCTCAGGGACATCACACACCTGCGTTAGCTCTGGCTCAGTGGACTTCCCCTCTACTGGGTTACTTGTATCAATTTCTCCTTCCTTTAAAGGCTTCTGCTCTCTCCTCTCTGTTGATTCCTTCCTTCTTAGCAGCCAGCTCCCTGTGCTGGTCTCTGCTCTCTGGTTCTCTTTTCCAGTCCACACTTGGGCTCATGGCCCACTCTGTTGGGTCTGTGTCATGTTGAAGAACCCTGAGGTCAGTTTTCAGTGCTCACCTTGTGGCCCTGCTGCAGCCCTCCTCTGTTCCCACTCCCTTCTGCTTGAAACCTTTTACATCTCTCATTTTTTTCTTGCCTCCCTCACTCTGAATGGCAGTATGCTTCAAAGCATTCTCTTTGCCTCAAAAGCATTGTCTCTGCTTGCTCCTTCAGCACCTCACCTATTCCCAGGGCTTTGAATATTAGGAACTGAGTCTTGTATTTTGGCCCACCCCAGTGTTCCTCAAGTTTCTGTGTCACCTGGAAGCCCAGTCAGTGCTGCACAGCTGACTCCCGTGAACTTAGCTCCAGGTCTCCCAGTCTCCTGGCCTCATCAGTGGAGACCTATTCATCCTGCTCCATAGCCAAACCTTGGAATCATCCTTGTTGCCGTTTCTCCTTTTAATTTTGGATTTGTGTTTGCTCTCTTATCATTATCTTCTTGACTCTGCCTTCAAAATATATCCAGGAAGTGTTTACTTCTATCTCTCTGCCAACTGCCAGCTCCTGGTCCCAGCCTGTCAACTCTTGATGAGTTGCTGCAGCCGTTGACCTGGTCTGTGTCTGCCCTTCAGCATGACAACCTGAATGATCAGGGAAAAACCAACACAGTTGATGGTCCTCTTTTTCCTCTGATGAAGAGAGAAGCTGCAGATAACCAATGTAAGGAATAAAAGAAGGGCATCACTGTGGATCCTGTTAACAGGGAAAGGATAGCAATGGAATGTTACGGTCAACATCACATCAGTGAATTCAACAACTTAGGTGAAATGGAAAAATTCCTTGAGAACACAAACTACCGAGCTCTTTCAAGTGGAGATAACCTCAGTGATGCTATTTGTGTTAAATAAACTAATAGTAAGAAGCCTTCCAACAGAGAAATTCCAGGCCTAGATGGTATCACTGGTCAAGTCTACTAAACATTTAGTGAGAAATATTTAGACTTTGGTTAATCCTATAGACTCCTCCAGAAAATACAAAAAGAGAGAGTATTTCCCACCCTATTTTAAATAAGCTTTACTTTGATCCTAAAATCAATGATATAACACAAAAATAAATTTATAGACCCATATGCCTCATGAACAGAGATATAGAAATCTTCAACACAACTTTATCAAACAGAATTTAGCAATACATAAAAGAAGACAGCGCATAGTGATATAGTTGGGGTTTATTCCAGGAGTGCAAGGCTGGTTTGGTGTTCAAAACTCAATGAATGTAATTTACCACATTAAACAATTAAAACTGTATGGTATCAGTAATCACAGAGAAAAAGCATTTGACAAAATGTAATATTAGTTCATGATAAAATTTCTATGTAAGCTCAGAAAGAAACTTCCTTCAAGCCTAACATATCATCCCAAAATGATAAACGTTATCTATGGGAAAACTTCAGCTAATGCCATATTTAAACAAAGAAAGACAGATTCTCTCCTTCTAGGATCAGGAACAAAGCAGAGATCTACAGTCACCACCTATGTTCAGTGTGGTACTTGATGTCTCAGTCACTGTGATAAGGCAAGAAGAAGAATGAGAGCGAGAAGTAGAAGTCCCTGTGTACACCACTGGCATGACTACCTGTGCGAAAAGTCCCAAAGAGTCTGTTGTAAAAGTTGCTGAAACTAGTGAGTGTAACGGGCTCACAGGATGCAAGGCCAGTACACAAAGGTTAATGTGTGACTCTGGGCTGGCAGTGAGTGGCTGAAATGGAAGCAAAGGGCTTATGAAAGTAGCACCACAACCATGGAATTACTTAGAGTCTTCACTCAGGATGTGTGGGCTATCAGTTAGAAAACATTCATAAGAGAAATCAGAAAACGTAAATACATGGAGCGTTTCTGTGTGATGTTCATGGATGTGAAGACTCGGTGTTGCTGGGACATCAGTTCTCTCTACATTAATCATCAAAATCAACAGGCTTCTTGGTAGTAATTCACAAATCAAATCCAAAATTTATGAGAAAAGCAAAAGAACTTGAATGATAGTTCTGAAAATGAAGAACAGAGTTCGAAACTTACCCTTTTCTACAAAGCATCCTTGATCTATGTGTGGATAAAAGGGTGGAGACACAGAGCAATGGGCAGAATAGATTCTCTCACTCATGGGATCAGCTGATTTCAACAAAGTTGCAAAGGCAATTAAAGGGGAAAAGATCATCATTCCCAACAGATACTGCTGGAAAAATTCAGACAAGTATATGCAACATGAAAAAAATTCTTGACTCCCACGATCTTAGTCTGCTCAGGCTGCCTGCACTTAATACCAAAGACTGGGCAGCTTAAGCAAACAGAAACTTACCTCCCGAAGTTCTGGAGGCTGCGAAATCTGAGATCAAAGTGCAGGCAGCGTAGGCTTTGTTCCGAGGACTACTCTTTTGGCTTCTAGGCAGCTGTCTTCTTGCTGTCATCTCATGGCCTTTCCTCTGCACAAGGTGAGAGAATACGCGTGCCCTCTCTGGGGTCTTATAAGGACACAGACCCTATGGGTCAGGCTCCACCCTTAGGCCCTCATTTAATACCAATTACCTTGTGACAGGCCTGGTCTTCCAACATGGTCACATCAGTGATGAGGCTTTTTTAAGTGAATTTTTGGGGAAAGCAATTCAATCTGTAGCACTTGAAATGGGTCATAGACAAATATAGAATCTCAAAACATAAAACTTCTGGAACAAAATGTAGGCAACTTTGAGTTAGGCAGAAATTTCTTAACACACAAAATACATCAACCATAAAAAAACAAGTTGATAAACAACTTCATTAAAATTAAAACTTTTGGGCTAGAGTTGTGGCTCAGTGGTAGCGTGCTCAGCTTGCATGCATGAGGCACTCAGTTTGATCCCCAGCACCACATAAAAATAAAATAAAGATATTGTGTCCACCTAAAACTAAAAAAATAAATAAATATTAAAAAAATTAAAACTTCTAGGCTGGGGACATATTGCAGTGGTAGAGCTTGCCCAGCATGTGTGAGACCCTGGGTTCAATCCCTACCACTCCAAAAAAAAAAAAAAAAAAACCATCTAATTTCCAAAATTAAAATTTTAGCTGTGCAAAGTGTTGTATACCTGTAATCACTGTAATCATAGCAACTCAGGAAGCCAAGGCAGGAGGGTTCTAAGTTCAAGGCCTGCCTGGGCATCATAGTGAGATCCTGTCTCAAAAATAAATAAAATTTTTGCTCTTCCAAAGATATTTAAGGGACTGAAGATATAGCTCAGCAGTTGAGCACTTATATTATTATGTGCAAGGGCCTGGGTTCCATCCCTAGCACTGCCCCCAAATAAAAAGGTATTTAAGAAAATGAAGACACCCTAAGATTTAGAAAAGATATTTGCTTAACACATATCCAATATAAGTATGGTATCCATAATATATTATAAAAGTCACAATAAGAAAATAAACAACATTCTTCATAGAAACAGAAAAAGCACTCCTGAAATTCATTTGGAAAATAAGAGACCCAGAATAGCCAAAGCAGTCCTTAGCAAGAAAAGTGAAGCAGGAGGCATCACAGTACCAAACCTTAAACTATACTACAGAGCCATAGTAACAAAAACTGGCATGGTATTGACACCAAAACAGACATGTAGACCAGTGGTACAGAATAGAAGATACAGAGACAAACCTGCATAAATACAGTTATCTCATACTAGACAAAGGTGCTGAAAACATTTCTTGGAGAAAAGACAGCCTCTTCATCAAAGGGTCCTAGGAGAACTGGGAATCCATATGTAACAAAATGAAACTAAACCCCTAACTCTCAACCTTTACAACTCAAAGACAGTATGTGTGAGGATAAGTGCATGGAGTACTTCCTACATGACATATGTTAAGGGCACCTGAGTGGCAAACCACTCCCCGTATGCTAGGCGTGAGCRGCAAACCACTTACCCTGTAGGCACAGCCCTGGGCATTAGACTGTGTGTAAGTACTCGCTCCATGGCCCGCTCCTTGATTGGTTGCTTCAAGTACAGTTGGCAAGAAATTGTATTGGTGGCTGCCTATAATCTGCTTAGCTACTGTTATATGCATGGTAACTATGCAATAAAGTCAGACCTGCTTCCAGCTTGGTCTCCAGAGGTCTTGATCCGTGACCCCGCAGCCACACTCTCCTCTACCCAGTTCTGTGGACCTCCTCGCTGGAGGAGAGAGAGCCCACGCAAATATGTAAAATTCTTAATTCTTCTAATTAGCATCTCTTCGTGCAAATTTAGGAATTCCCTGTCCATGCCCTTGTCCTTTTCTATCAGGGTGATTTTTTTAAAAATTTATTCTAACAGAATGCATTTTGACATATCATTCATAAGTGGAGTATAACTTCTCATTCTTCTGATTGTACATAATGTAGAATCACACTGATCATGTAATCATATAT